AAGTCCCCATGCTGGCTGGGGGCTTCTTGGGGGTGAAGTCCACTCATCTTAAAGTGGCCAAGTTTGGACAACACTGACTTAAGCCAATGTCAGAGCACAACTTGCTTATCACATAAAAGCCAAACTTTTTTTTTATCCCCACCTAAATGCTACTCCAAATGCCAAAGTGACCAACTTATTCATTCATTCTTCTACATTTCTTTCTTAGGAGCACTTTAGTTAGTAAAGAACCTGATAGCATGCTGGCTCGCATGTTTAAAGATAAAGGTCAGTATGAATTGAGATAAATATGTGAAAGCCCTATCCAGTACTCAGTTTGCAAACCCATCTCATGTAAACTGTTCCTTATTGTAAAGTAAGGCTTGATTTAGATGATTCTGAGCAAACTGCAGAACTACAGTGGTACATTTTGGGTTCTTGTCTGTAGACCTGTAGACAAGGGTGAGAGTTTGGACTTGTCCAGCTAACTCTTATTGGATAAAACAAAGCATGTTCAAAGGTGCATGAAGAAGAGAGGGAATGGTTGAGCAGGAATCTCACAATAGCTTATTCCAATTTCTTTAAGTCAGGAGTGAGGAATGTGAGTTTCCAGATGAAATATTCAGGCTTATATGTTGGCCATGGGCCACAGAAATGCCCCAAATGAAGAACATAGTTACTAACATCTTTACATACCATATGTACAAGGGTTTTTGGGCCCTTTCCTTGATAGTACAGGGTGGAGAACCTGTAGCCCTCTGGATGATGCTGAACTACATCCTCCAACATTCTTCACCATTAGCTATGCCAGATTCTGGAAACTGAATTCAACCATGTTTTAGATTAGTCTTCCCCAACCTGGTGACCCTCCATATAAGTGGGCTTCAACTCCCTGAATTCTTAGCAGTCTCCATGCTCAGTTGGGAATTCTAGAAGTTGAAGTCTACCCATATGGGAATACTCATGCAGCAGAATAATGGTTTATGTCAGGACTATAAACATTTTGGCTTGCCTAGAACTCTTTCTGTAGCCTCCAGAGCACTTCCTCAGAGTGGGGCCAAAAATGTTGTCCCATTGCATGAAATTAGAGGAGTGTTAAGTTCACCCCTTAAGACCATGACCACCATCCTGGTATCCTGACTTTGTCTGCTTTTAGAGTTTGGTTCTTGCCTTGCCCTACAGAGCCTCCTGCAAGCCAACAGAATATACATTTCTGATTCAGAGGATGTCCTTTCCTCCTTATTTCCTACATCCTCCCTCTAATTTTGTGGTGGGCAACCAGGGGCACTTAAATCTAATTTCAAAACCTGCCTGCAGGTGATCTATCTCAGCTGTTAGGGAGAGATGGAGATGGGGAGAGAGAGAAATGGACTTATCTCAGGACAAATTTATGAAGGCATTTTTTAAATGTATCCATCTGCAACAGATGCTTGGGGAAACAAGAGAGATCACAGTGGAGCTTTCCTGATTGACCGAAGTCCCGAGTACTTTGAACCGATCTTGAACTATTTGCGGCATGGACAGCTAATTGTGAATGATGGCATTAATTTTCTAGGTAGGTACCAGGACCTAAAAACATTTTGTTGTCTTGGTTACAACCATGCTTCTTCTCAGACAAGTCTAAAGCCAAGCTTCCTGAATAGAGCAAAGGATGTGGAAATCCCATGCAAACTTTTGGCATTTTTGTATGAACTTGGGTTTCTCCAGTCCTAGACCAACACAATCAGAATCTCATATCCATGGTTAGGGGACCCAATGCTGTTCAAGGTTTTTGTACTCCACTTCCACTCCCTAAGCATAGGTGGCCTTCACACGTCTTCACTTATTGTAGCTATGGTCTGTTCACCTCTTACTGAGATGTGTGAACCCAGCTGCCTGAGCTTCACAAAGATTCTGCCCAGTTCATGCAATGTACAGATTAAACCATCTCGCTTCACCTTGCGCTTTCACGTTTGAACCTGCCAATTGGGATTTATTGAATAAACAGTGGCTTCATATACATGAACAAGGCCTATGCTCGCTTTTCTCAGTTAATGTGGGGGGTTGAGCTATTAAGAGTTACAATAAGAATTGTTATTACAATTCTTACAGTTGTAGGTTACAATTGTTTTTATTGTAAACCGCTCAGAGTCACTTCCTCGTGAGATGGGTGGTGTCCAAAT